TGTCACTCGCTTGCTTGCTACAGTTGTGATGGACCCTACGTTCTCGTCTCCTGCTGCATCTGCCTTAGTCGCTGAGCTAGTTAACCTTGCTGCTGTGCACTGCCTAGACTACCTTGCGAGTCTTGTTTCTGACCTTGACCCTGCCTGTCCTCCGTTTGTTGGGGGTGAGGTTGCCCTTGGCTATTACGTTCTTGAGGACAGACAGGAGGAGCTGGAGTGTCTTGCGGCCGCTGCACTTCATCTCGCGACCATGCTTCTTGCCCCTATGGGAGACCCGGATGCACTTGACATCCTCACCCCGCGCTCTTACAGAGAGGCGATCTTGGGTGAGTACTCCTCTCAATGGGAGACAGCCATGGACGCAGAGATGGCTTCCTGGAAGTCCACAGGCACCTACGTTGACGAGGTTCCCCCACTTGGGGCGAACATCGTCAGTGGCATGTGGATTTTTAGGGTGAAGCAGCCGCCGGGTTCTCCGCCTGCCTTCAAGGCACGCTACGTTGCTCGAGGCTTCAGTCAGTGTGAGGGGGTCGACTTCTTTCAGGCCTACTCCCCCACCTCGAACATGGCCACTCTTTGGGTTTTGCTACACGTTGGAGCTCAGCGTGACTACGAGCTGCACTCCCTCGACTTCTCGACAACTTTCTTGCAGGGTAGCCTCCACAAGGCCATCGGGCTGCGCCGTCCACCTGGATTCACTTGGTCGTTTCCTGAGGGTACCCAGTGGAGCGTACGGCGGCTAGTGTATGGCCTGCATCAGCCACCCCGCGAGTGGCACGAAACGTTAAGGACGACACTTGCAGCTCTTGGGTTTGCTCCTTCAACTGCTAACCCATCGCTGTTTTTGCGCACCGACCCTTCTCTGCCGCCGTTCTACATCGTCGTGTACGTTGACGACTTGGTTTTTGCTACTGCTGATAGTGAGGCACTGGCCCTAGTGAAGGCGGAGCTGTAGGAGAGACACACCTGCACTGACGTGGGTTAGCTGCAGAGCTACGTTGGCTTACAGATCACCCGGGAAAGAGCACGACGGACCATCATCCTGACGCAGACACACATGGTGCATCAGGTCCTCCAGCGCTTCAGCTTCCAGTTCTCCTCACCACAGCCCACTCCTCTGCCTACATGCCACTCGCTCTCAGCTCCACCTTCGGACGAGAATGTAGAGCCGAGTGGTCTATATCCAGAGCTTGTGGGTTGCCTCATGTACCTGATGATGTGCACACGACCTGACCTTGCGTACCCTCTCAGCCTCCTGACTCGTTACGTGGCTCCCAGTAGACACCGAAAGGTGCACTGGGATGCTGCGAAGAGGGTACTGCATTACTTGTGCAGTACATCAGACATGGGGCTTGTACTTAGAGGACGGGGCTCAGTGGTACTCACACGTCACTCAGACGCTTCCTGGACCAAAGATCAGGCGACTCAGCGGTCGTCACAGGGTTACACTTTCATTCTTGGTTCTGGTCCTGTCTCGTGGAGGTCTACTCGTTCGTCTTCTGTGCTTGGTTCCAGCTGTGAGGCAGAGATCTACGCAGGGGCTATGGCTACGCAGGAGCTACACTGGCTGACCTACCTGCTGACCGACTTGGGGGAGCGGCCTCGTTCTCCTCCAGTTCTGTACGTCGACAACAAGCCATGCTTGCCTTGTGTCGCGAGTAGAGACTAGAGCACAGAACGAAGCACATTGCTCTTCGCTACTTTCTTGCTCGAGAGCTGCCGCAGCACGGTCAGCTCCGCCTTTCCTACGTGGCCTCTCGGGCCAACAGTGCTGATGTTTTCACCAAGGCCCTCGGGTCTGGTGATCATCAGTATTTTTGCACTGCTCTTGGGCTTCTGCCCATTCTGCCTCACCTGCTTGTCTCTTGATCTTGCCTTGCACTTGTTGTATACTGATTTATATTCTTCTGTCGGCATGTCTACACTTGTTAAGTTGTGATTTGTGTATTCCCTTCCTATTATAACTCTGCATGTGAAGTGGCCCGGTGACCGATTGCTTGCGCTCAGACTGCATGGTGATCTTGAGATCCACCCTGAGCTGTGCTTTGTTTGTTTTGTTTGACTGGTCTTGTGACCATTCCTTGCTCTAGCTATCCCCCACTTCGCCTATGGGGGTGTGTTAAAACATATATGTTTGTGTTTACATCTCTCTAGGCTACATTGGGGCTATCTTTAGGGGGTATAGAAACCATATTGATACTTTTCTTGTACCCCCTCCCTTGACCTAATCGACACTCTTCTCTCACTAGGTTTCTAACATCCCCTTCACTATTTTAGGCCTTCGGGTCATATGCACATCCCTTCGTACACCTTGGAAATCAAACTTGCTAGTTCTAATCTCAAACGAAATGTTATTGGTATAATCTGTTGGAAACAATAAGTCCTAAGTGCGCTTCTGTCGTACCAAAATCCAAGGTACCAAGCGAAGCAGTCCCAATCGAAGCATCGAGTCAACCTCGGAGGTTAGGGTAACCGCCTGGAGGTTACGAGAAAGTCAAAGGTCGCTGACCTTTGACTCGACAATTACAGCGCGACAGTTAAGGACACACAACTGACTCGTTACAGAGCAGTTGCCCGAGTCGCGCTATATCGAACCGCAACAGCAATACAGTTATCTATCTATTCCCTGTACTCTTATATAAATCCTTGTATTTGCTTGTTTAATTCAATCAACTTTGCTCTCACACACCAGTGCAAGGTCGGTTCAAATTCTTCACTAAACGCTTCCGCTATTACAACTACTTCACCTAGAGTTATCCCTTGCAAAGATCCTAAGGGGCTATCTCAGCCCAACATAATCGAGTAACCCGATGACAATTGCATTGTCAAAGCTTTGAACATCATGACCCAAGACATGAATGAATATTGCCGCATATAGAAAAAAAAGGTAATGGTAATAAGAGAAAGTCGGGTGATCAGCGGACCTAGCGCCAAGGTTGGGATATCGAGACGTAGTGCTTGTCTAGGGTTACTATTCGGGTCCTGTGGTATGGGCGCAATGACAGTGATGGGGGAACACTAATCCGGATGAATTTCTCGATGTGGTAATGGAACAGTGTTCGTTCGTGGGCGCCAGGCTTGTACAAGATCCATGAGGTGACGCGAAGTAAGTAGAAGTTGTTTCTTAACAGATGGTAGATTGGCCAAATATGTATCACTCTACATGGATAAGATAGTGTAGAAGCTTGTACATTTGAGTGGAGGCGCCAAAACAGGTGTTGAGGAACAGCAGGCAGAACAACGATGGGCTGTTCCCCAGCCGCGAACTAAGTGACACGTCAACCACGTCGTGTGGAGTGGTCCGCTGTCGGTGAAACGCTCCGCGACACATAATCACATTTGCGGCTGCCGTGTTTATCACACGCTCATTATACTGCTATTGGGCCGAGTATCTAGCCTGGTACTCGTCACCTACTAGGCGCTAAAACCTGGTTTGGTGTTTGAGACAGCCCTGGATTTGGTTGGGGTTGAGGTACGGAGAGTGATTATGGTTGGTGGATTTAGCCCCGGAAAGACGAAGAAAAAACGACAGCATGATGATGATTCTTGCCTGGTGGTAATCCGCTAGTTTGATTAGGAAATGGAAGGAGCACTTGGTCCTGCAGGGATATTTAGTCATACACAAAAGGAAACCAGTCCTGATAACTACCGGAAACCTGACCGGATTGTTTTTCAAACCGACGAGCGCGGCGCGGCCGAGCTACCTAACATCGAACCGCCCCACAGCTACGGCTTGCTGTGGGTGATCGAGATTCGAGTCGAGAGTCGAGCAAGACACACCGGCGGAGTATGAATGAGCGCAACAAATGTAGCCATGGGCGATGGCATGAGCTGTGTGCACAGTGTGGTTGATATCATACACGATACCACCAGCGGAGAACGGAATACCCATCTTCCTGAAGACAAGCTCATTCCAACCTCTTCAATGCTGATCAAGCGCGACTGGAAAAGACTATTTGAGACTCGAACGAGGAGAGTTGAACTCTACCATACGGAGAGCACAATTCGCGGATTTGCGTACCGACACAGCCGTCATTACTAGCTAGTAGCTACAGAAATCTCTTCACAAAAGTACCACGTTCCCAATCCCCTCCCATTCGATCCCATCATTAAGAAATGCGTTTCGTTTTCATGGTGCGCTCTTCGGACCTGCTATAGCCTCGTTTGCGAGAGATGATCGGGGATGAAGTTATTTTACTTCGGCTAGATTTTCAGCCTTCCTGTAGCTTGACTCAGATTTTAAGAGGACGTGGCGCCGTAATTTGCGTCAAGCAATAGTCAGCGCGCGACGCGGACGCAAAACACACCCTGTTGAATGGCTTATGACGCTAGTTCCGCCGCGTCTCACGACCGAGATAGATTCTCTACTTCGACCTTCCCAACTCAATAGTGCCATCCGGCCGTCATCGCCACGCTGCTTCCGTGCAGCGACGCATCCCCTCTTAACTTACCACTGGTAATCAGACTACCCCAGGTACGACTCTACGTAGTTTCGCTGCCGCCCTGTCTTTTTTCGTTGCGCTTGATAAGCCATGGCTCCCGTCTACAAGCATTCCACGGCGATCCAACGGGTCAAGGCCGCGCGGAAGAATCTTCCGAGCTTGACGATGCCAAGAGCAGCCGCTGCTTCAGTCGCTCCATCCTTTCATACACGCAACACGAATTCATTCGCTGCGACTGGAAACGCTCACCACCGCACGACGAACGGCCTCGGAAGGTCATCTCGCGCTGCTCCTGAAGTCCACTACCCAGCAGCACTCCCGATCCTCCTCTCCCCCTTCCTCCTCTCCTCCTCTCGTCTCCCTCCTCTCCTCCCTCTCCTCCTGCTGCTCCTCCTACCATCCGTCCCAAGTCGCGTACGCGCGAGTCAACTTGTGCCTGTGGCGCCGCCGCCGTTTCTGCCGCGCGCGACGGCGGCCAGTCCGGCCGTGAGTCACCGTCACCGTCACTATCCGTTCAACGGTTCAGAAACGTTGTCAATCGCGCGCGTTCAGCTAGCAATGGCTGCCGCAGAAGCCGCGGAGAAAGCTGAGCTAGCAGCACAAGCCGCCGCGCGGAGAGCCGCGAGACTCGCCGCAAGCGCCGCCGCCGCCGCAGAGGGCCGGATTTCCGCCACTGGCGGAGCAACGGCCGCGTTTGCGCGTGCATTCGCGGGAATCGCACCGGGCGCCAACGACTCGTTGGTGGGAAACAATGCGGGGGAGCAAAATGCGGGGGAGGCGGAAAGGGAGGCGGAGGAGGAGGATGATGACGAAGGGGACGAATGGGATCCCAAGACACAACCGTTAACGGAAAAGCCGATTCTGCTGGGACCGGCGGAGTTCGTCAGACCGGACGGAACACGCGGAACGCTTCACGGGGGAGGCGCGCCCGGATGGGAGCAGCGGTGGCGGAATCGGCGCGCCGCGGTAAAGGCTGCGCGCGGCGGAAGCGGTGGAAGCGACGGAGGCGCAACCAGCGGGGGAAGCGGCGGGAGCGGCTGGAACAGCGGAGCGGGGAACAGCACCGCCAGTGCGGGGACGGCGGCGGCGGGAGGAACAACATTTTCCATAGCGGGCGCGGCGGGCGCGGCGGGTGATACGATAGTGCAACCCATGGCTGGCACGCCAGATATTTCGCACACTGCGGGATACTTCAAGATTAAAGCGCGACGCGACACGAGACTGTTCTACTACTTCTTCGAGTCGCGGAACGACGCGAGCACGGATCCGCTGGTGCTATGGCTGACGGGCGGCCCGGGATGCAGCAGCGCGTTCGCGCTGCTGTATGAGAACGGCCCGTACCAGCTTGACACAGACAAGACGACGCTTATTTGGAACGACAACGGATGGGACATGGTGAGTTTTGGTGAGTTATGAGTCGAGTGAAAAGAGAACGGCCCGTACCAGCTTGACACAGACGGAACGACACTTATCTGGAACGACAATGGATGGGACACGGTGGGTTTTGAGGCCAGCACAGGGCGGCCCAGGGCACTGTGGCTGTCCCCTCGTTATTCCCCTTACTTATCCCGACCGCCTCCCCCCACCACCTTTCCCAAGAACTGAGCTCCTCAGGCGTCCAACATCATCTTTCTGGACCAGCCGGTGGGCATGGGCTTCAGCTTCTATTTGGGATTCTTTTGCCGTGGCTCCGCTGTATCCCCTTCTCCCCCCTCACCACTCTCCCCACCACTTAGCGTCCAACATCGTCTTTCTGGACCAGCCAGTGGGCACGGGCTTCAGCTGTAGCGACCTGCTCTTTGCCTCTGCTCCCGCTGCCCCCCCTGTCCCATGCCTCACTGTCTCCCCTGTTCCCCTCCCCAGGCGTCCAGCATCATCTTTCTGGGCCAGCGAGTGGGCACGGGCTTCATCCGCTCTTTGTCCTCCTTTCCCCGTGTCCTCCCTGTTATGGGCCCTTTCCCCCTCCCTTCCCCCTCCCTCCCAGGCATCCAACATCATCTTTCTGGACCAGCCGGTGGGCACGGGCTTCAGCTACAGCAACGACTCGCTTTTGCCAACGCTCCCCCTGGCCCCCCTGACTCATGCCCCCTCCCCTCCCCTTTCCCACACCACCAGGCATCCAACATCATCTTTTTAGATCAGCCAGTGGGCACGGGCTTCAGCTACAGCAACGACGGGCAGAAGCGCAGCACGCAGCGCGGTGTGAGCAAAGATGCGTACCAGTTCCTGCAGGTGAGCACGCGTGGTCTAAAAATATGATGCTGGACGTGCGTGCGTGCGTGCGCGCGCGCGCGCGCGCGCGTGTGTGTGTGTGTGTGTGTGTGTGTGTGTGGTGTGGTGGTGCCTTGCCGTGCCGTGCTGTGCCGTGCCGTGTGCTATTGGTCGTGGAGTGGGGAATGGTGGAGGGAGGGTGCTCCCACAAGGCCTTCCTTTCCTTACACTGCACCCCCTCCCTATCTGCACACACACACACGCACCCCTTCTTTCTCCATAACAGAGAAGTTCTGAGATGCCTCGAAATCCCCTCGCTTCCCTCTCTCTTCCCTCTCAATTCCCCTTGACTCTCTCCCCCGTCCCCGCACTAGGCTTTTCCTTGATGCACATCCCGAGCTGCGCACACACCCCATCTTCATCACAGGGGAGCTCTGAGGTCCCTCAGATCACAAGTCTCTCTTCTCTCACTCTCTTGCTCTCTTGCTCCCTTGCTCCCTTGCTCCCTCGCTCCCTCACTCCCACCATACTAGGCCTTCCTGGACGCGCATCCCGAGCTGCGCACGCGTCCGTTCTTCATCACGGGGGAGTCGTACGCAGGAAAGTACATCCCCACGCTCGCTGCACGCATCGTGCGCGCCAACAAGGTCGGCAAGAAGCCGCGCATCAATCTGCAGGTCCGTCTTTGAAGTTACCACTTCCGTCGGTTGGACAGTCACCCTGTCAGCCAATCAGTAAGTCAGTCAGTCAGTCGGTTCGTCCGTCGGTCGGTCGGTCGGTCGGTCAGTCGGTCCGTCAGTCAGTCAGTCAGTCGGTCAGTCAGTCAGTCAGTCAGTCAGTCAGTCAGTCAGTCAGTCAGTCAGTCAGTCAGTCAGTCAGTCAGTCAGTCAGTCTGCCAGCCTTCAGCCGCCCTTCTGCCATTCTCCTCCCAACCCTCCCCCCACACTTTCCCCACCTTTACTCGTCTTTTCCTCCTGATATTTTTCCTGCACAACCACCACAACCTCCACTCCCCCCAACCTGTTCCTTTCCGCTCCCCATTTTCCCGCCCCCCTCCAATTCCCATCACACCAGGGCCAGGCCATCAGCAACGGCTTGACCAGTCTGCACACGCAGAGCATGGCTTATGCTCCGTTTGCGCTTTTCTAGGTCTCCCCAATCCCTTCCCCCCCCCAACCCCACACACACTCAAACCCTTCCTTCCTCTCCCCGTTCCCCAACAGGGCATGGCTATCGGCAATGGCTTGACCAGTCCGCACACGCAGGCCATGAGCTATGCTCGGTTTCGCCTTTTCAGGCGCCTAATCCCCCCCATCCTGCAACCCTTTCCTCCCCATCCCCATCCTACCAGGGCATAGCTATCGGCAATGGCTTGACCAGTCCGCACACGCAGTCCATGTCCTATGCACGTTTTGCATACAAGAACAAGCTCATGAGCTACTGGAAGTACCGGGAGCTCAAGGCGCGAGGGCGAGCGTGCCAGCTCACTGACCTCATGTGTGGTGGGTGGTGGTTTTGGGTAGGGTGGGTGGGTGGATGGCTGCGTGGAAGGGTAAGCGAATAAGGGATTCATGATTCCATCACGCCATGAGGGCATGCTTTTTCTGCTATGGTGACATAGGAGTATCAAATTCCTCGTGCCGAGAAGTGATCGCAGACAGAGAGGTGCAGCAGGGAAGTTGACAGCGGTCCAACCCCTCACGCCTGTACCAGCAGCTACTGCCGCAGGCGTGTCTGCTACCTCTGCTCAACACAACACAACACAACACAACACAACACAACACAACACAACACAACACAACACAACACAGGCCCTTAGGACAATTTTCAGGTCACCTGAGAACTTCCTCTCTCCTGCTCTCTCCCGCTCTCTCCCGCTCTCTCCCGCTCTCTCCCGCTCTCTCCCGCTCTCTCCCGCTCCCTCCCGCTCTCTCCTGCTCTCTCCCGCTCTCTCCCGCTCCCTCCCGCTCTCTCCCCCTCTCTCCCGCTCTCTCCCGCTCTCTCCCGCTCTCTCCCCCTCTCTCCCCCTCTCTCCCGCTCTCTCCCGCTCTCTCCGCTCTCTCTCGCTCTCTCCTGCTCTCTCCCGCTCTCTCCCGCTCTCTCCCGCTCTCTCCCGCTCTCTCCCGCTCTCTCCCGCTCTCTCCCGCTCTCTCCCGCTCTCTCCCGCTCTCTCCCGCTCTCTCCCCCTCTCTCCCACTCTCTCCCGCTCTCTCCCGCTCTCTCCCCCTCTCTCCCGCTCTCTCCCTCTCTCTCCCGCTCTCTCCCCCTCTCTCCCGCTCTCTCCCCTCTCTCCCGCTCTCTCCCCCTCTCTCCCGCTCTCTCCCCCTCTCTCCCGCTCTCTCCCCCTCTCTCCCGCTCTCTCCCCCTCTCTCCCGCTCTCTCCCCCTCTCTCCCGCTCTCTCCCCCTCTCTCCCGCTCTCTCCCCCTCTCTCCCGCTCTCACCCCCTCTCTCCCGCTCTCTTTCCCCCTGTCTCGCATACCCATCCGTCCCTTTTTCACCTCCACGCAGGCACCCAGGGCAAGGTGTCGTTCATTACAGCGTTCCTAGTGTGCGGGTGGTACTTAAACCAGGTGGTGTGGTGGTGGTGCAGTCCGGCAAAGGCAACGTGCGTGTCCCCGTCGCCCCCCTTTCCCCCGCTTTTCCCCCTTCGCCCCACTTGTCCTTCTCGCCTCGCGCAGGCACCCAGGGCAAGGTGACGTGCATAACGGCGTTCCTAGTGTGCGGGTGGTACTTCAACCAGATCGTGCTTCAGTCTGGCAACGGCAAGGTCAATGTGCGTGTCGTGTCCCGCTTGCCCCGCTTCACCCCTCTGACCACGGACGGATGGTGCTGCATTCACCATTCACCATGCACTCATTCATATAGTATGCATACAGAGGCTCACAAGCTCACTCAGTCTTCAAGGTTTTCTCTCGTCTCAAACCAAGTCCCAACCACACAGGGTCGATAGGCACTGTCTGAATGTGCCTTGTCTGTTTTCGCTTGGGATGGATCGTCCAATCATGCGTGCCAAACCTTTTTTCTTCTTCTTCTTCTTCTTTTTTCTTTTCTTTCTTTTCTTTTCTTTTCTTTTCCCGTTCCCGCCCTTCTTGTCTGTATCCCTTTTCCCGTTTCTCCTTCATCGTGCATCCCATGGACCCCACGCGTCCTATCACCCCACACACCCCGTGCATCCCACGCCTGGCAGTACTATGACGTGCGCAAGCCGTGTGTGCATGACAGCGGGTGCTACGACTTCAGTGCCGGCAACGCCTACCTCAACTCCGCAGAAGTCAAGCAGAAGCTGGGGGTTAAAAAAGAGTGAGTGCCTAGCATGGAGAGTGAGTGCATTGAAAGGGTGGGTGCACCAAAGGGTGAGTGCACCTAATGTGAGTAGCCCAAAGGGTGATTTTACTGCTCGCACTTTTAAGGCTTTTCAAAGGTGACACCCGTTTTGCCACCCTCCCTTCTCCATTTCCCCCCTCCCCCTCTTTTCCCCCTTTCACGCCTGCCGCTCGTCTCTACCTCTCCCCTCTCTCCGGTCACACCCCTTCCCCTCTCCCTCCCCACCCTTTTCAGTCAGCTGAAAGGATGCTCCTCTCGGCAATGCTTCTCGTGGCCTTATTTAGAAAATGAGACAACGGGCTGTCTAATGAACCTCAACCTCAACCCCCCTTCATCGCCCTCCTTTGCTCCACCTCCCACCCTCGCTTTTCCCCCTCCCTTTCCTTTAGGTGGAGGGACTGTGACGACAATGTGTACTTTGCAATGCTCATGGACTTTGAGAGGGACGAGACGGAGCACGTGAGCTATGTGCTTAACAACGGGCTGCGAGTGCTCATCTATGCAGGCGAGAAGGACTTTATCTGCAACTGGATTGGTGAGTTATTGACTCTCACTGTGCGTGCTGTGTGAGTGTGTGTGTGCGCATGCACGCGTGCACGTGAGTGCGCGTGAGAGTGAGATAGTGGAGTAGCCTGTAGCTGTGTAATCCGTGAGTCGGAGTGTGCATGGAGCTAATGAGGGATGAGACAGAGCACGTGAGCACGTAACCAGGGCTGCGTGTGCTTCTCTATGCAGGGGAGAAGGATTTTATATGATTGTGTGTGGGTGGGTGTGGATGTGCGTGTGCGTGCATGCATGTCTTGCGTGGTGGGACATTTCAGACCCATATCTGCTCAATCCATAACTGCCCATACATAGAGGCACCGCATCCCTCTACTCAAGTGAGTTTCGCCTTCTTATCCTCCCCTCTCTCCTCTTTCTACTCCCCTCTCCTCTCCCCTCTTTCTCCCTTCCTCTCTCATCGGACCAGGCAACAGCTGGTGGCTGAGGAGTCTCAAGTGGAAGCACCAGGGTGCGTACCGGAAGGCCAAGTACAAGCCATTCCTGCTGTCAGGCAGTCAGAAGGGCCTTGCAAAGGTTGCAGAGCCACTCACGTTTCTACGGGTGAGCTTTTGCTCTCTTCTTGCTGTTGCTCTTGCGGTTGTTGGTGTTGCTGTTGGAGTGGCGCTGGTGGTTGCCGTTTCTCTTGAATGTTCAATGTCAAGTCAAGCCATCTGCTTCCCATCGTGCCATGGGCATGCTCGTTTTATTGTATCAATTGCGTGGATTTGTGCATGTCTTTCCCTAGGCTACCATTGTTGTGGCACGAGATTACTGTAACTTCCCATTCTCGGTATCTTGTTTCATCATACATGTGTGTTGCTATATTTGTCTTTACTAAATAATTCACCCCATGTTGCATGGTTATCATGATTGCATCTCCAGGTGCATGAATCAGGTCACATGGTCCCCATGGATCAACCTGAAGCTGCGCTAGAAATGATACGCCGATTTATGGCTAAGGAATCTCTCATGGGATAAGGCAACTCTCGTTGCTAGTCCTGGGGTGGGTTGGACGCTGGTGTATGCATGCTAAAATTCATAAGTTTTTTTTGTATGCCATGTATTTAGCGTGTTTTTAGCTTGGGTTGTGTGTGAGGAGAAAAAAATAGTTCTGGCCAACACATACGATGGGAATAATGCAGAACGTACTCAAATACTTATGTATGTCAATATTGATTTTTGTAATTTCTCCTTTTAACACTAGTGTACTGTTTGTGTGTTCGCGACTATCAGGATTCCCCCCACTGCATCCATGCGTTGTTGCACGTGCCCGCCATGCTCTTATATCGAGATTACCCTGAACACGGAACCAGCTGGAACATTGGCAAGGCAATCTATTTCTGCTTGCTAACACTTACCAAGTAGCTTGCTTCACCGTAGCTCGCGCGAACTGCCGAAATAACTTCTCTTATGCAACAATTAGGGCGTTATTAGTGGCTTCCATTTGTCGCGTCCCACTGGATCGTAAAGTCGGTCTTGAACATCTCATAGCATCGATATGCCTCCTAAGTACCGTGGGCGATTCGGCAGCGGCGCGACCGCCGGGGGGGCCATAGGCAGCGCGAATGCGGGACAGACGGGTGTGGAGCGGTTGGAGGAGGTGCTGGACGTGAACCTGCCGTTGCCGCAGGTGACGTCAGCACCGTTCGGGCGCATCGGACCGGCCTTCGGATATGGCTTGGGATGCGGCGCCGGCCTGGGGATCGGTCTGATGGGCGGTAAGCAGTGGGACGGGATGACCATAAAGTTGACTAGAAAATGCGGCGCCGGCTCGGGGATTGGTCGTATGGGCGGTAAGGAAGAAAACGGGACGACTTTTGAGTTCACAAAAATTTGAGGCGCCGGCTTGGGGATTGGTCGAATGGGCGGTATGGCAACGGGACGGGATGACTTTGCTGAGTCGTTAAAAAAATGCGGCGTCGGCTTGGGGATTGATGGACGGTACGGAACGAGACGGGGTGGTGCGTTGGGATTGGGACGACGGCGAAGTTTGGTTTGATCTGACGGGAAGGCTTGTTTAAAGGGAGTGAGATGTAATGACGCATTGTGGCTGCATCCGAAAGGGATGCAGGGATGCTGCCTGAAGTGACGTAGTGCAAGGAATTTCTAGTGAATATTTCTGGCAGGATCGGAATGGGAGCAGATGTAATCCCAATTTCGTTATCTTCTTGTCGATTTTACTCCGCTTCCTGTTTCTTCAGATCTTATTTGCATGCGTAGCGCTTTGCGGTGATGCACTATGCCCCTCTCACCAAGCATGACGTGGCACCAGCCTATCACCCAATCTTTCCCTCACTTACCCCCCCCACTTGCCCCATCCCCGTCGCCCTACCGAACCTTCAATGCAGGCCTTGGTTTAGGCTGGGGAGTGCCGGGCCTCAGGCTCGGAATGGGGTTCGGTGCGGGTTGTGGTGTGGGAGTGGGGTTCGGGTATGGAGTAGGGAGGGGGAGGGCGTATGACAGGGAGGGGAACCATACAAATCTGCATGGGGGTTCCAGCTATCTGTATGCAAGGAAATTGACTCCTGTTACGGGCCGACCTCGGAAAGCTGATACACCACTGTGAGTTGCAAGTAGTTTGTGTGAGTTGCAAGTAGTTTGTATTGTACTTTATCCTCCCTCCTCTCTCTCTCTCTCTCTCTCTCTCTCTCTCTCCCTCTCTCTCTCTCTCTCTCTCTCTCTCTCTCTCACACACACACACACACACACACATGCATGCACATGCACATACTCTCTCTCACTCCCTCTTTTATTCTCCTGCTCTCTCTCCCTCACTCTTTCTCTCTTCCCTCCTCTCTGTCCCTCTTCCCCCCTCTCTCCCCTTTTCTCCCCCGCTTCCTCTCCCCATTCCCTTCCTGTCTCTCCTCGGTTTCCCAGCTTCCTCTCCATACATGCACACGTCCACGTGCATGCACCTACTCGTTTTTCTTTAGGCAAATACACACGTACCTATCGCATTCAAAAAAATTACAGTTCTGCTCCATGCGTTCATCCTCACACTGCCCTTATTCACTGTTACTCTTGCCCTCCCAACCAACCTTTCCTTACCATCTTCTTTCCCTCTGGGCCCCGCACCCTCCTCCTTACCTTTCCAGCTTCAACCAGTTTTGTGTTCCTGGATCGTCCTGTTTCTCCCATGTACACCCCCCCCCCCCCCCCCCCCCCCCTTATTTGTTCCTTGATTGTTTTGTATTTCTTAATGCAGCGCTTCTTTGGCTGTAGGCCGCATGGTACATGACCTATTCCACGACATCAGAACCTTCTTTGGATCGCTGACAGGGACAAGGCCACACTAACACGTGACCACATTCATGTCTCGCAGCATACGGTCTTCTTCAGTTACTGCAGTTGTGATTCCATTGTTGGGCTGAGACGCCCTAGGATCTTTGTAGAGTTAAAGTCCGAGTAAAATGATGTAATAGCGGAAGCGTTTGAATAAAGTCTTTTGAACCACCTTGCGCTAGTATGTGAGGCAAAGTAAGTTGATTAAAGCAAAGAGATACAGGAATATATATATATGAGTACAGAGAATATGAAGAGATATAATTGTAACTGTTTTACTGTTGCGGTTCGATACAGTGCGACTCGGGCAACTGCTCAATGTCGAGTCAGTTGTGTGTCCTTGCTGTCGCGCTGCGTCAGGTCAAAGGTCGCTGACCTTTGACTTTCTCGTAACCTCCAGCGGTTGCGTTAACCTCCGAGGGTTGACTCGCGGTGCTTCGATTTGAGCTGCTTCGCTTGTGTCTTGAGTTTCGACACGACAGAGGCGCTTAAGACTATTTGTTCCCAACACTCCCCTTCGCTCCTGGAGTGTCGCTGATGGTGACGTGGCTTTGTCCAGTCAGCAACATGCAGTACTCGAACTTATGTTTTCAGAGTTTCTTGGTCAAGTAGTCGGCTGCCATCTCGGACGTGGGACAGTAGGATAGTTCGTGTTTCCCTTTCTCGATCTCGTCTTTCACGAAGAAATATCGCAGAGTGATATGCTTCGTTCTGTTCGCGAATCCGCTCTTGTTGGCAATGCAAATCGCAGATTGGTTGTCGCAGAACAAAGTGAAGTTGGGTAACTCGGCTAACTTCGCTTCTTCCTGCAGCTCGCGAAGATAGAGTCCTTCCTTGGTGGCTGAGCAGAGGGCGATATATTCTGCTTCAGCTGAAGAGAGAGCAATTAGTTCCTGCTTGCTCGATTGCCAGGAGATAGGTCCGATAGGTTCGAGGCGGTAGATGTAGCCAGTGCGGGAGCGCCTGTTGTCTGAATCGCCGGCGTGATCGGCATCGACATAGCCGGTTAGTTTCGTCGGTGTAGTTTTACTCTTGTAGTATGTCAGGCCGATCGTCGAGGTGCTCACGAAGTAGTGTAGTGCGCGGTCGAGCTCCGCCAGGTGTTCTGTTTCGGGTCTCTTGAGGTAGGTGGCGAGTTGACTTGCGGAGTAGGACAGATCTGGGCGGCAGGTGACGGCTGCAAAGAGAAGGCAACCCAACTTTCTCTGGTAGTCGCGTATTCCGGCGGTTTTGAGTAGAGCGGAACTTCCCTTGTGGTTCCCTGCCGTGTAGCGGTATGGCGTGGAGATAGTGGTAGGTGTGAGCGAGAAGCGTTTGGCGATAGTGTCGACATACTTTTCGGCGCTGAGGTAGATCGCGTGCTCTTCTTCGCGGATGTTGAGTCCGAGGTACTGAGTGACGGTAGAGGAGACCGTGAGTGTGAGGTCCCTCTGCAGCTCCCCTTCGAACCAGGTGGTGATGTCGTCAGTGGAGCCAATGTAGAGTAGGTCGTCGACGTAGACGATCAGCAGGATATAGTCGGCGTTTTTTGTGAGTCGATACATTCCTTGGTCGTGAGGCAGTTAGCGGAATCCGATGCGAGTGAGGCGAGTGTGTAGGTGCTGTTGCCACAGCCGCGGGGCTTGTTTGATTCCGTAGAGCGATTTCAGCAGCTGGCAAAACTGATTAGGTTTCCCGTGGGTACCGTGTGGGAGCTCGACGAAGATTTCGGCGTCGACGGGTGCGTAGAGGAACGCGTTGGCGACATCGATTTGTCGCAGTTTCTTCTTCTTCATAGCGGCGATCGCGAGAAGAGTTCGGAGTGAGGTATGTCGGCTGACCGGGGCGAATGTCTCGGTGAAGTCCCGTCCGTGCTCCTGGTCGAATCCACGCACGACCCAGCGTGCTTTGAATTTCTCGATTGTACCGTCTGCCTTTGTTTTAATGCGGAAGACCCATTTCCCGGTGAGGATGGTCTTGTTCCTTGCCACGCTAACGGGAACGACTTTCCAGGTGTTGCGTTCCTCCAGCGCTTTTAACTCTCTGTCCATGGCTTCACGCCATTTCTCCCTGTGTTCCCCCCCAGAGCCTGCTGAACCGTGGCAGGCTCTTTAGGAAGAGCATTGCCGTAGACTGCGGTGACGAGGCCGAGAATCTGCAGTCCAGTCTGTGAGTAGCGGGGGAGTGTTGTGTCCTCGGGATAAGCTGCTTCATCTCCCGCTTCTGGGTCGGGTATGAAATTCGGCCCTATCCGTTCTGCTTCGTTGGTGTTGACTGTCGCAGGTGTTACGTAACCGTTGTCGGCGAAGTGGTAGAAGACTTCGGTGTTGGCGCTTTCGCGAGGATCTTCTTCGTCCATGGGGACGTTGACGGAGCAGAACGGTAGAGGTCCGGCTTCTTCCGATGCGTTGTCGACGTTCTGCTCGTCCCAGTCTGCTTCGTCCGCTGCTGAGGCGAAGGCTCGTTCACCACGAAAGCCACCTGTGGGGTCCTGATTTTCGTGCAACTTGGCGAGGTACGTCTGAAGCGTGAGTCGTTCGTAGAAGATCACGTCACGTGCTGCTACTGTTTCCTTGGAGTGGACGTCGAAGATTTTCCACGCGTTGTAATTCTCTTCGATGCCGAGGTGTAGTCCCCACTGTGCACGTTGTGAAAATCTTCCCACTCGTGCTTCTGGGGGTCGGTATTGTACCATGCACCCGAAAACTCGTAATATTTTTGTGCCGCCCTGCTTCCCTGTCCACAGCAGATGCGGTGATGTGTTGTTCGGAAGTGAGGACGACGACATCAAGTTGTGCAGCATGACAGCATGGTCCATTGCTGCAGGCCATTGGTGGTTGGGTAGCCGCATGCCACGTAGCAGTTTGCGCATGCTGTTCTGCAGAGTCCTGTTCATTCTTTCTGCCACACCTTGCTGCTGATGGGCGTAGGGAAGGGAGAGAAGCTGCTTGATTCCTCTTTCCGCCAGGTACTGCTTGAATCGCTGAGAGGTGTATTCTCCTCCTCCGTCTGACTGGAAGCTTTTCAGCTGTGTTCCCGACTCTCTTTCTGCTACTGGTAGCCAGGCGGCGAACGCTGCGAGTGCCATGTCGCGGCTGGGTAGGTTTAGGTGCCAGACGTATCGAGTGGCGGCGTTGATGAAGGTTATCGTGTAGTTGTAAGTAACTTGTCCTGGTTCTCGATTGAAGAGAATATCGCTGTACATCTTCTCGAGTGGTGCGTACGCGGGTGCGCTCGGGTTGTGGTGAGGAGTAAACGGGCGATGTGGTAAGTCGGCTTCGGGGCAGGTGAGGCAAGTTCCTCGTCCCCGTTGAAGTTCTCTGCCGTCGGGTAGTAGTAATGAATCCTTGTCTAGGACTCCTGCTCTTATTGTATTATTTAACACGGTGTTACTTGGATGTCCCATGCGTGCGTGCCAGATGTCTTCGGAGGCGCAATGTCCGGGTGAGCGTTGATACGCGTCGGAGTTGGAGTAGAAGCTGGCGACGAAGTTCGCGCTTCTATGGACTTCTCGTTGAGTTGGGTTCAGCTGCTGTGCGGGTGTTGGAGGTGCTTCGTCGACGAGGACTGGTGTCGTTGGTCCTGCTGCTGCCGATGATGTTTCTGCTGCTGCCGGTGTTGTCTCTGCTGCTGCCGGTGTTGTCTCTGCTGTTGCCGAATGTTGAATTGTTGCTAATGCGCGTGTTCGTTCTGCTTCAGGGATGGTATGCGAATACCAGAAGCCCTCCGGGCTGAAGTCGGGGTCGAGATCCGGGGGATGTGTCCAGTCGGCGAAGTTCACGATGGCATCGCTGTCTGCAGTGCCCAGGTCTGGGACGAAGTCAAGGACGAAGACGTTGTTCTTCAGGACCGCCTTTCCGATGTAGAGGCCGCCCTTCCCGTGGTATAATTTGAACTCCTGGGTGGTACTGTCGGCTTCCAAGTGAATGCCTTTCGCCATCAACTGGCTGACGCTCAGTAAGTTGTAGCCGAGTCCCTCCGCGATTAGCACTTTTGACATATGCAGTATAACATTTGTCTCTCGTGACTGAAGTTGTACTACTCCTTGTCGTCGTGTGCGCAGATTCTGGTTGTTGGCGACTGTGATGAAGACCTCTCGTTGAAGTCGGTGTTCGCGTTGAACGAAACGTCCTGAGGAGCACATGTGTTGTCCGCAGCAACTATCCAAGAACCAAGTGTCTTTTCCGGACGGTTCGCTTTGAGCGATGGCAGCGTACGTCGGGTTCGGTTGAAGTGACTCGCGACGAGGCGTGCTGTTGTCGAGTTGTTCTTCTGGTGAGTAGTATGGTGGTGACTCGGTTGTGCAGGAGTCTGTTATTTTCACCATATAGTTGACGATGTTTCTTGCTCCTTGTGCAGGTTGTCCTGTTGGAGTCGTTGAAGCTTGGACTGAAGTTGTCGGGTTTGCTTGCGTTGAAGTGACTTGGGAGCTTGAAGGCCGAAGTTGTCGCTGTGGTGTTGTCGATTGCTGACGATACGGGCAGTGCGTACGAGGATGCCCTGAAGTCTTGCAGATGTGGCAGAACGGAGGTACTGGCTGTCAGAACATATAGCTTACTTGTTTCTGTAGGCTATAGTGGGGTATCCCATAGGGGGTACAACCCAAATTAGGGTTTCCTATTTGTACTCACTTCCTTCATAGTCATTTCATTCTCGTTCATATTTTCTCATGGAATCAGATCAACCTCCACCCCAGGGTCTCCAGGCCGGAGACCTCCCCAGCCCTGCTGTGGACGGGGAAGGTTGGCGATGCGTCGGCGTTCCGGGTCTGGGGATCTCGGGCGTTTGTCCGCGACCTGTCTGCGGACAAGCTGTCCCCTCGCGCTTCTCCCTGCGTCTTCCTGGGGTTCCCCCCCGACGCCCCTGGGTGGCAGTTCTACCACCCCACCTCTCGACGTGTTCTGTCCTCCCAGGACGTCACGTTCGACGAGTCGGTACCCTACTACCGCCTCTTCCCCTACCGCACTCCTTCCCTCCCCCCGCCCCCGCTCTTCTTGGTACCAGGTCCCCCCCCGGTAGACCCCCTCCCCCCTCA